CTAAAAACAGAAATTCTATATTTAAGAGAATCGAAAAAATTCTTAATAACATCTAGGCGCCACAAAGTTAAAAAAAATGGGTCTGAATATAGTCTGTTAGAAAAAATATACAATGCCTTATTCTACTCTGTTTTGGAGTATAGACCAACTCAGTATGCTCTCTCATGTAAAATACCGAAATTCAAATTTTACGTGAATCGAAAAAAATCTAAATATTATCCTGGCACCCCAATGTTACAATCAAAATTGAACTGAATATAATCTCTCAGAAAAGATATACAATGCCCCATTCTACTCTGTTTTGGAGTATATAAACCAACTCCATATGCTCTCTCATGTAAAATACCGAAATTCTAATTTAACACGTATCGAAAAATATATAAATAATATCTATGCGCCCCAAAGTTAAATGAATATGGCTCTGAATATAGTCCGTTAGAAGAAATATACAATGCCTTATTCTACTCTGTTTTGGATTATATACACTAAGTCAGTATTCTGTAAAACACCTAAATTCTAATTTTACGCAAATCGAAAAAAATCTAAATAATATCTAGGCGCCGCAAAGTTAAAGAAAATGGCTCTGTATACAGTCTGTCAGAAAAAATATACAATTCCCTTTTCTACTCTGTTTTTCAGTATATACACCAACAAAATATGCTCTCTCCTGTAAAATACAGAAATTCAAATATTACGCAAATCACAAAAAATCTAAATAATATCTAGGCGCCCCAAAGTTAAAAGGAAATGGCTCTGAATATAATCCGTTAGAAAAAATATACAATGCCTTATTCTACTTTGTTTTGGAGTATATACACTAACTCAGTATGCTGTCTCATGTAAAATACTGAAATTGTAATTTACGCGAATTGAAAAAAATCTAAATATTATCTAGGCACCCCAGTGTTCAAAGCAAAATTGCTCTGAATATAATCTGTCAGAGAAAATATACAATGCCCTTTTCTACTCTGTTTTGGAGTATACACATGAACTCTAAAATACCAAAATTATAATTATACGCGAATCGAAAAAAATCTAAATAATATCTAGCACCCCAATGTTAAAAGAAAATGGCTCTGAATATAGTCTGATAGAAAAAATATACAATCATTTATTCTACTTTGTTTTGGAGTACATAAAACAACTCAGTATGCTCTCTCACGTAAAATACCGAAATACTAATTTACGCAGATCAAAAAAATCTAATTAATATCTAGATGCCCTAAATTTAAATGAAAATGGCTCTGAATATAGTTTGTCAGAGAAAATATACAATTCCCTTTTCTACTCTGTTTTGGAGTATACACACAAACTCCATATTCTCTCCCATGTAAAATACAGAAATTCTATATTTAAGCGAATCGAAAAAATCTAAATATTATCTATGCACCCCAATGTTAAAAGAAAAATTCCTTTGAATATAATATGTCAGAAAAAGTATACAATGCCCTTTTCTACTCTGTTTTGGAGTATATACACCCAATATGTTCTCTCATATAAATACAGAAATTCTAATTTTACGTGAATCGAAAAGAATTTAAATATTATCTAGGTGCCCCAAAGTTAAAACAAAATGGTTCTGAATATAGTCTGTTAGAAAAATATACAATGTTTATTCTACTCTGATTTGGAGTATATACACCAACTAAGTATGCTCTCTCACGTAACATAAAGAAATCCTAATTTTACGTGAATCGATAAAAATCTAAATAATATCTAGGCACCCCAATTTTAAAAGAAAAATTGCTCTTAACATAATCTTTCAGAAAAAATATACAATGCCCTTTTCAACTCTGTTTTGTAGTATATACATGAACTCAATATGCTATCTCATATAAAATGCCGAAATAATAATTTTACACGAATTGAAAAAATTCTAAATAATATCTAGGCACCACAAAAATAAAAGAAACTGGCTCTGAATATAGTTTGTTAGAGAAAATATACAATGACTTATTCTACTCTGTTTTGGAGACTCAATATGCTCTCTCATGTAGAATACCGAAATTCAAATTTTACGCGAATCAAAAAATCTAAATAATATCTAGGCGCCCCAACATTAAAAGAAAATGGCTCTGAATATAGTCTGTTAGAAAAAATATACAATGCCATATTCCACTTTGTTTTAAAGTATATACACCAACTCAGTATGCTTTCTTATGTAAAATACAGAAATTCTAATTTTATGTGAATTAACAAAAATCTAAATAGTATCTAGAAACCTTAATGTTAAAAACAAAATTGCTCTGAAAATAATCTGTCAGTAAAATGTAAAGTGCCCTATTTTACTCTGTTTTGGAGTATATACACCAACTCCATATGCTCTCTCTTGTAAAATACAGAAATTCTATATTTAAGCGAATTGAAAAAAATCTAAATAGTATCGAGGCACCCCAATGTTAAAAGTAAAATTGCTCTGAATATAATCTGTCAGAATAAATATACAATGCCCTATTCTACTCCGTATATACACCAACTCCATATGCTCTCTCATGTAAAATACAGAAATTCTATATATAAGCGAATCAAAAAAAATCTAAATCTTATCTAGGCACCCCAATGTTAAGAGCAAAATTGCTCTGGATAGAATCAGTCAGAAAAAATATACAATGCCGTATTCTACTCTGTTTTGGAGTATATACACCAACTCAGTATGCTCTCTCATGTAAAATACCGAAATTTTAATTTACGCGAATCGAAAAAAATCTAAATATTATCTAGGCACCCCAATGTTAAAAGAAGAATTGCTCTGAATATAATCTGTCAGACAAAATATACAATGCGTTTTTTTACTCTGTTTTCGAATATATACACCAACTCAATATGCTCTCTCATGTAACATACCGAAATTCTAATTTTATGCAAATCGATAAAAATCTAAATAATATCTAGGCGCCCCAAAGTTAAAATAAAATTGCTCTTAATATTGTCTGTTAGAAAAAATATACAATGCGTTCTACTCTGTTTTGTAGTATATACACCAACTCAGTATGCTCTCTCATGTAAAATACAGAAATTCTAATTTTACCCGAATCGAAAAAATCTAAATATTATCTAGGCACCCCCATGTTAAGATCAAAATTGCTCTGAATATAATCTGTCAGAAAAAATATACAATGCCCTTTTCTACCCTGTTTTGGAGTATATACACCAACTCAATATGCTCTCTCATTTAAAATACCGAAATTCGAATTTTACGCGAATCTAAAGAAATCTAAATAATATCTAGGTGCCCCAAAGTTAAAAGAAAATGGCTCTGAATATACTCTGTTAGAAAAAATATACAATGCCTTATTCTACTCTGTTTTGTAGTATATACACCAACTCAGTATTCTTTAACGTGTAAAATACTGAAATTCTAATTTCACCCGAATCGATAAAATCTAAATATCATGTAGGCACCCGAATGTTAAAAACAAAATTGCTCTGAATAGAATCTGTCAGATAAAATATACAATGGCCTAATCTACTCTGTTTTCGAGTATATACACCAACTCCATATGCTCTCTCATGTAAAATACAGAAATTCTATATTTAAGCGAATCAAATAAACCTAAATATTATCTAGGCACCCCAATGTTAAAAGCAGAATGGCTCTGAATATAATCTGTCAGAAAAAATATACAATGCCCTTTTCTACTCTGTTTTGTAGTATATACACCAACTCAATATGCTCTCTCATATAAAATACCGAAATCCTAATTTTACGCAAATCGAAAAAAATCTAAATAATATCTAGGCTTCGCAAAGTTAAAAGAAAATGGCTCTAAATATAGTCTGTTAGAAAAGATATACAATGCCTTATTCTACTCTGTTTTGGAGTATATACACGAACTCAATATGCTCTCTCATGTAAAATACAAAAATTCTATATTTAAGCGAATCGAAAAAAATCTAAATAATATCCAGGCACCCCAAAATTAAAAGAAAATGACTCTGAATATATTGTATTAGAAAAAATATACAGTGCCCTATTCTAATCTGTTTTGGAGTATATACAACAACTCCATAAGCTCTCTCATGTAAAATACAGAAATTCTATATTTAAGCGAATCGAAAAAAATCTGAATATTATCTAGGCACCCCAATATTGAAAGCAAAATTGCTCTGAATATAATCAGTCAGAGAAAATATACAATGACGTAATCTACTCTGTTTTAGAGTATATACACGAATTCAGTATGCTCAATCATGGAAAATACCGAAATTCTAATTTTACGCGAATCGAAAAAAATCTAAATATTATCTAGGCACCCCAATGTTAAAAGAAGAATTGCTCTGAATATAATCTTTCAGAAAAAATATACAATGCCCTATTCTACTCTGTTTTGGAGTATATAAACCAACTCCATATGCTCTCTAAAGTAAAATATAGAAATTCTATATTTAGCGAATCGAAAAAAATCTAAATATTATCTAGGCACCCCAATGTTAAAGGCAAAATTGCTCTGAATATAATCTGTCAGAAAAAATATACAATGCCCTTTTCTACTTTATTTTGTTGTATATACACCAACTCAATATACTCTCTCATGTAAAATACCGAAATTCTAATTTTACGAAAACGAAAAAAATCTAAATAATATCTAGGCTCCGCAAATTTAAAAGAAAATGGCTCTGAATATAGTCTGTTAGAAAAAATATACAATGCCTTATTCTACTCGGTTTTGGCGTATATACACCAACTCAATATGCTCTCTCATGTAAAATACCGAAATTGTAATTTTACGAGAATCAAAATAAATCTAAATAATATCTAGACGCCCCAAAGTTTAAAGCAATATTGCTCTGAATATAATCTGTCAGAAAAAATATACAATGCCCTTTTCTACTTTGTTTTGGTGTATATACACCAACTCAGTATTCTCTTTCATGTAAAATACGGAAATCCAAACATTACTCTAAGTATCTCATTAATTGCACAAGACCCACGTGATGTTGTTTTTAATAACTAGGGGATTACAGATGACATTACTCACGATATGACTGCAGCTGTTTGCCGGTCCTGTGATAATGTTTCTAATATCCAGAGAAGGAGAGGGGAATGTTTCTGCCCATAGGCAAATCCTCTGAATACGGCAAGAGGAGTACACCGTGCTGTGGTATGGTCACTAATGTAAACAAGAAAACAATTATATTGAATTAAATATTGCAAGGTGTTAACCCCCCCTATAATATTTTTTCTAGTTTCAAGTGGGTGAGGAGGACATTTTTGTCAAAATGGCGGAGGTGTAACTACAGCTATTGCCTACTATATAATAAAAAAGGGTAAAATTATTATTTACATATAATATGATTGCCAGTATCATATTACACCACATTTTCAAAATATCTGGGCCCCAGCAGCTGTGGGCATGGCAGCCAAGCGAGGGTGTCCCTATGCAACCAGGTTGGGCATTGGGGCTGCTACCGGCCCTTTGTGGTTTGTCTGGGGGCTGCTACGGGCCCTCTGGCGGTGGTGGCTGTGGTAACAGCCACATAGCCAGAGGGTCTCTCAGCATCCAGGGAGGGCCTGGCGGCTGCTACTGACACTCTGGCAGGGGCTATGGGCACAGCCACCTAACCAGGGGGTCCCTACGTAGCCAGGGTGGAGCTGGAAGCTGCTATAGGCCCTTTGGCCGGAGGTGTGGGGATACCCTGCTCTTCACAGGTACACAGTTTGCACCTATTTCTACATGTGTAGATCGTTTACATAATGGGCACATATTTGTACACATATACATATAATATCACAATAAACATATATGTACATAATATGTGTACAATAAATATGTACTTTATACGTACCTAATATAAACAATATGTACTTTTTGGTGATATTATGTGATATCTACATATTATTGATTATATATCTTATTGTGATAATATGTATGTTACCACTGAAATTTTTAGAAATGTACATAGAGTACACTTTATGTACCTATGCATTGTGTACACATTATAGAAATAAATAGGTACACATATTTTACAGATGATGTACATTTTCTCTACATGTGTATTTTGTACACATATGTACAGCAGAGTAAATGTACAGACTATACCTATTTTATACATTTATTGTGATATGTCAATAAATGTACACATGAGTACATTCTGGGATATAATTTTTAGCATATTAGATAGGAATTACACCGGTGACCAAAGTGGGTTTACACCCAGGTGCGGACATAGTTTATACATGTACATGTTGTGCATATTATGTACTCATGTACAGAATGTACATGTCTACATTATATATACATAGGTGTATGCAGCATACATAGGTACATACTGTGCACACATACGTACACGTGCATATGTTGTACATCTGTACATAATGGGTACATGATGTACATGTGTACACATCATATCACAATAAATGTAAATATACATAATGTTTGCAATATGTACGTTTATATTATGTATTACGTTTGTGATTATATATGCTGTTGTGATATGATATCATTGTGACATTACAAATGTTATTATACACATTATGTACCTATGCATTGTGCACAGATCATAGAAATAGAAAGAAACATATTTTACAGGTTATGTACATTTTATTTACTTCTGTATTGGGTACACAGAGTAAATGTACAGATCTTACTTTAGACATTTATTGTGACATATGCCAATAAATGTACACATTATGAGTACATTCTGTGATATTACATTTAGAATATAAGATAGAAATTACTCTGGTTACCAAAGTGGGTGTAAACTTATGTGTGCACATACTTTGTACATGTACATACTGTGCATATTACGTACTTGTGTACAGAAGGTAAATACCTACATTATATGTATGTATGGGTACAGAGCGTACATATGTACATACTATGTACATATATCTACACCTGAATTTATTGTACATCCGTACATAATGGGTCCATGCTGTACATGTAAACACATCGTCATACCACAATAAATGGAAATGTACATACTGTGTGAAATACGTACATTTATATTATGTATTACATGTGTATTGTGATTGTATATGCTGTTCTGATATCATTGTGATATTACAAATGTACATATTGTACACATTATGGACATACCTATTGTGTACATATTATGTACACATAAATGTACATATTGTACAGATTATGTATATTTATTGTACATCTGTATGGTGCACACATATGTACATCACAGTCAACGTACATATGGTACATATTCTGGGCATTGTTTGTAATATTTCAGTAAGAGTACACATTATAAGTATATTCTGGGGTATGATTTTTAGTATGTTAGATAAAAATTACTTTCAATATCAAAGTGGGTATACACTTATGTGTGTCCATTTTGTGATATTATCCATCATATCCTGAGTAGGTATTTCTCTCATTGTGAAAGCAGGTTTACACTCTCGGATTGCTCCAATATCAAGGCAAACTAAAAGTCGTCTGTGATGTAGTTAATAATATCCTGAGGACAAAGGATGACCATACCCTGAATATCGCAGGAAGTGTACACCACCAATTGTTTCTAATGTTCAAAAACGGAAAGGATATTACTCCAAATATCTCAGAAAGCACACAAGCCCCCCGTGATATTGTTTCTAATAACTAGAGAATTACAGATGACATTACCCACGACGTGACTGGGGTTGTACTCTGGTCCTGGAATATTGTTCCTAATATCCAGAGAAGGAGAGGAAAATGTTACTGCCCATAGGGAAATACTCTTAATACGGCAAGAGGTGTACACCATGCTTTGATATGGTCACTAATATAAGCAAGAAAACAATTAGATTGAATTAAGCATTGCAAAGAATGAAACTCCCCTATGATTTTCATTCTAATGTCAATGGGGGTGAGGATGACATTTTTGTCAATATGGCAGAGGTGTAACTGGAGCTATTGCCTAATATACAAAAAAACAGAATAAGATTATCATTTTTATATAATATGGTTGCCAGTATCATATTACACCGGATTTGCAAAACAGCTGGGCCTCAGCAGCTGTGGGCAGAGCCCACAAGCGAGGGGACCCCTAAGCAGCCAGGGTGGGCCTGGGGGCTGCTCTGGGCTTTTTGGTGGGGTCTGTGAGCACATCGACCCAGCCAGGGGTCCCTGAGCAGCCATGGTTGGCCTGGGGGCCGCTACGGGCACTCTGGCATGGGCTGTGGGCACAGACACCTAGTCAGGGGGTCCCTAAGCAGCCAGGGTGGGCATGGGGGCTGCTACAGGCATTCGAGCAGTGTTTGTGGGCACAGCCCAATTGCCAGGGGGTCTCTAAGCAGCCAGGCTGGGCCTGGGGGACTGCTATAAGGGGGCTTTGGTAATAGCGTGCTGTGCATCGGTACATAGTTTGCACCTATTACTACATGTGTAAATAGTTTTAATATCGGGTATATATATGTACATGCATACATATGGTGTTATCACGATAAATTTATATTTACATAATATGTGCAAAATACATATGTACCTAATGCATACCTAATGTGTACAGTATGTACTTTTTTGTAATATTAGACCATATATATTACTGTGATTATATATCTTATTGTGATTAAATATATTTTATCACTAATATTTTAAGGAATGTGCATAGTGTACACATTATATACCTATGTATTGTGTACACAATATAGAAATATATAGGTACATATTTTACAGATTATGTACACTTTTTCTACATGTGTATTGTGTACACCTATGCACAGCAGAGTAAATGTACAGACTGTACCTATTTTATACATTTCTTGTGATATGCCAATAAATGTACACATTATGAGTACATTCTAAAATATAATTTTTACCATATTAGAAATTACTCAATTGACCAAAGTGGGTGTACACCCAGGTGTGTACATAGTTTATACGTGTACATATTGTGCATATTAGGTACTCATGTACAAAATGTACATGTCAACATTATATGTATTTATGTGTACATAGTGTGCACATGCACATACTGTTCACACATATGTACATGTGCATATTTTGTACATGTGTACATGATGTGCATGTGTACACACCGTGATACCACAATAAATGTAAATGTACACGATGTGTGCAATATGTACATTTATATTATGTATTACTTGTGTATTGTGATTTTATATGCTGTTGTGATTATATGATATCATTGTAATATTACAATAAATGTACATATTGCACACATTTCGTACATACCTATTGTGTACACATTATGTACCTGTAATTGCACATATTGTACAGATTATGTACGTTTTTGGTACATCTGTATTGTGTACACATACTGTACATAACACTCTATGTACATATGGTATGTATTCTGCACATTGATTGTAACATCTCAATAAGTGTACACATTATGAGTATATTGTGATATATGATTTTTAGTATATTAGATAAAAATTTCTTTCTATATCAAAGTGGGTATACACCCATGTGTGTCCATTTTTTGATATTATCCATCATATTTTAAGTAGGTATTACTCTCATTTTGAAAGCAAGTGTTCACTCTGTGATTTCCAATATCACAGGCAAAGTACAAGGCTTCTTTAATGTACTACCTAATATCCTGAGGACAAAAGATTATTATACCCTGAATATCGCAGGAAGTGTACACCACCACTGTAGTATCGTGTCTAATATCCAAAAACGGAAAAGATATTACTCCAAGTATCTGATAAAGCACACAAGACCCCCGTGATATTTTTTCTAATAACTAAGGGATTACAGATGACATTACTCACGATATGACTGGGGCTGTCCGCCGGTCCTGTGATATTGTTCCTAATATCCAGAGAACGAGAGAATAATGTTGCTGCCCATAGGCAAATCCTCTGAATACGGCAAGAGGAGTACACTGTGCTCTGATATGGTCACTAATGTAAACAAGAAAACAATTTTATTGAATTTAACATTGCAAGGGGTGAAACCCCCTTATGATTTCAATTCTAATGTCCAGGGTTGTGAGGATGACATTTTTGTCAATATGGCAGAGGTGTAACTAGAACTATTGCCTAGTATATATCAAAAACCAGAATAACATCATTTCCATATGATATGGTCGCCAGCATCATATTACACCACATTTTCAAAATAGCCGGGCACAGCGCCCTAGCCGGGGGGTCCCTAAGCAGCCAGCGTCAGCCTGGGAGCTGTTACGGGCCCTCTGGCGGGGAATGTGGTTACAGCTCCCTAGCCAGGGGGTCTTTAAGCAGCCAGGGTGGGCCTTGGGGCTGCTACGAGGGGGGCTGTGGTAATAGCCTGTTCTGCACAGGTACATAGTTTTATTTTATTTATTTATTTTTATTTTTTTTTGAGACGGAGTTTCGCTCTTGTTACCCAGGCTGGAGTGCAATGGCGCGATCTCGGCTCACCGCAACCTCCGCCTCCTGGGTTCAGGCAATTCTCCTGCCTCAGCCTCCCGAGTAGCTGGGATTACAGGCACGCGCCACCATGCCCAGCTAATTTTTTGTATCTTTAGTAGAGACGGGGTTTCACCATGTTGACCAGGATGGTCCTCCTGACCTCGTGATCCACCCGCCTCGGCCTCCCAAAGTGCTGGGATTACAGGCTTGAGCCACCGCGCCCGCCTAGGTACATAGTTTTAATAATGAACACATATTTGTATAAGTGTACACATGGTGTTATGATAAATATATATGTACATATGTGCACAATACATATAGACCTAATGCGTATCTACTGTGTACAATATGTACTTTTTTGTGATATTACATGATATATATATATTACTGTGATTATATGCGTTATTTTGATTATATATATTTTATCACTGATATTTTAAGGAATGTGCATAGTGTACACATTATGTACCTATACATTGTTTACACATTATAGAAATATGTAGGTACATATTTTACAGAGTATGTACATTTTTTGTACATGTGCATTGTGTACACATATGTACAGCAGGGTAAATGTACAGATTGTACCTATTTTATACATTTATTGCAATATGCCAATAAATGTACACACTATTACTACATTCTGAATTATTATATTTTGTATATTAGATAGAAATTTCTCCGGTTACCAAAGTGGTTGTACACCCAGGTGTGTACATCGTTTATATGTGTACATATTGTGCATAGAATGTACTCGGGTACAGAAGGTACATATCTACATTATATGTACACATGTGTAGTGTACATATGTACATACTGTACCCACATATGTACACTTGCATATATTGTGCATCTGTACATAATGGGTACATGATGTACATGTTCACATATCATATCACAATAAATGTAAATGTACATCTTGTTTGCAACATGTACATTTATATTGATATTACATATTACATGTGTATTGTGATTTTATATGCAGTTGTGATTATATAACATTGTGATATTACAATAAATGTACATATTGTACACATTATGTGCATACCTATTGTGTGCACATTTTGTACATATATTCGTACAAATGATACAGTTTATGTACATTTATTGTACATCTGTATTGTGTACATGTGTGTACATCACAGTCAATGTACATATGTTTTACATATTCTGTACATTGAGTGTAATATCCCAATAAGTCTACACATTATGAGTTTTTTCCGGGTTATGACTTTTAGTATATTAGATAAAAATGACCTCCAATATCACAGTGGGTATATACCCATGTGTGTCCATTTTGTGATATTATCCATCATATCCTAAGTAGGTATTTCTCTCACAATGAAAGAAGGTGTACACTCTGTGATTGTTCCAATATTATAGGCAAAGTGCAACGCTTCTGCGATGTAGTTCCTAATATCCCAGGGACAGAGGATGAGTATACTCTTAATATCGCAGGAAGTGTACACCACCACTGTAGTATTGTTTCTAATATCCAGAAACTAAAAGGATATTACTCCAAATATCTCCAAAAGCACACGAGACCCCCGTTACATTGTTCTTAATAACTAGGGGATTACAGATGACATTGCTCACGATGTGACTGGCGCTGTAAGCCGGTCCTGTGATATTCTTCCTAATATCCAGATAAGGAGAGAAAAATGTTAAATGTTGCTGCCCATAGAGAAATATTCTGAATACTGCAAGAGATGTACACCGTGCTCTGATATGGTCACTAATGTAAACAAGAAAACAATTATATTGAATTAAACATTGCAAGGGGTGAAACCCTCCTATGCTTTCAATTCTAATGTCAATGGGGTGAGGATGACATTTTTGTCAATATGCCAAATGTGTAACTAGAACTATTGCCTAATATGTAAAGAACCACAATAACATTATCATTTCTGTGTGATAGGTTGCCAGTATCATATTACACCACATTTTCAAAATAGCCGGGCCCCAGCAGCTGTACCCACAGCCCCCTAGCCAGGGGGTCTTTAAGCAGCCAGGGTGGGCATTGAGGCTGCTACGAGCAGAACTGTAGTGATAGCCTGCTGTGCATAGGCATGTAGTTTGCACCTATTTCTGCATGTGTACATTGTTTAAATAGTAGGCACATATTTGTATACGTGTACATACCGGTGTTATCATGATACATATATATTTTCATAATCATAATATGTGCACTATACATATGTACCTAATACATACCTAATGTGTACAATACGTACCTTTTGGTGATATTACACGACATATATGTATTAGTGTGATTATAGATCTTACTGTGATTATATATATTTTATCACTGATATTTTAAGGAATCTGCATAGTGCACACATTATGTACCTATGCATTGTGTACACATTATAGAAATATATAGGTACGTATTTTACAGATTATGTACATTTTTTGTACATGTGCACTGTGTACACCTATGTACAGCAGAGTACATGTACAGATTGTGCCTATTTAATACATTTATCACAATACGACAATAAATGTACACACTATGACTACATTCTGGGATTTTACATTTAGTATATTAGATAGAAATCTCTCCGGTTACCAAAGTGGGTATACACCTATATGTGTACCTAGTATATACGTGTACATATTGTACATACTGTGTACTCCTGTACAGAGGTACATATCTTCATTATATGAACATATGTGTATAGTGTACATATGTACATACTGTGCACTTACGTACACGTGTATATACTGCAAATCTGCACGTGTGCATGATGTACATGTGTACATATCGTAATATCACAATAAATGTAAATGTATATAATGTGTGCAATATGTACATTTATATTGATATTATGTATATATGTGTATGGTGATTATATATGCTGTTGTGATTATATGAAATCATTGTATTACAATATATTTACATATTGTACACATTATGTACATACCTACTGTGTACACATTATGTACATATAAATGTAATATTGTACAGAGTATGTACATTTTTTGTACATCTGTATTGTGTACACATATGTACATCACAGTCAATGTACATAAGGTACATATTTTGTACCTTGATTGTAATATCCCAATAAGTGTACACATTATGAGTATATTCTGGGATATGATTTATAGTATATAAGAAAAAAGTTACTTCCAATATCAATGTGGGTATACTCGCATGTGTGTCCATTTTGCTGTACCTTCTATTATTATTAATCTTTGCCATTGAACATGATAGTGAGAGGTGGTTCTTTTCTCTAACAAGGTTTTCTGTTAATATAACTCAACTCTACTACCTTGTGGCCTCTGTATCTTCCATTGTAAATTGTAATTACCTATAAAAGAGAATATTTTGACATCACGTATCTACCTCTTGGATCCATCAGCCAGAGGCCTAAAATAAAAAAGACATTCACCCCACGAATGGTTATATAGTGGTTGACAACCCCACTTTCTTCTAGGTAAATAATATCCTCTCTTTAACAGTAGCTACTTACAAGATTTGTGCATAAAGAATGTGACTTTTTTATCAGTATCTAGTTTATTCTTACATAAATTTCTAAAATACTGAGAGAATATTCTGATCATTGGTTATATACTATTTTAATTTAATTTTTTCCTCTCAAATTTTATCTTAACTGCATACTCTACCCTGTTTATAGACTGCCCTATGGTTAAATTTAGTAGGTAGTAAATTATCCTGAGCAGAACATTCTTTTTGTAATCAACTCTGAAACATCATTGAAAGAGCAAGGATATGGGAATTAGATTTATCTGGCTTTTATTTCTGGTACTTACTTGCTCTCTGACCTTGGGCAACTTATGTATTGCTCTGAGTCTCATCTTCTTCATCTGTAAAATGATCATAGTAATACCTAATTCATATGCAGCTTGGAAATGTGTAATTTAGTGATTGATATAAAGTTCCTGATACAATTTCTGACAAAATAATAGACACCCCACGAGAGATAACCATAACAATCAGAGTTTATATTCACATTAACTGGGATAAAATTGATCTGAAAATACAGCATAAAAAAGCAGCCAAAAATTCACAAGCATATATTTCGCTTGCCTTTTTATACAGAGCTGGAAAATTTCTCATCATTATCTCATCCATTGCCTGCAGCACGATCCTTCCAAAACTCCTCCTAAGACCGTCTGCCAAGGTGGAACACACTGAACCGCATGTGACTCTGCCTTTTCTGACTATTTTTGCAAGATTTTTCTCATAGAGTATTATTAACAGAAAATGGGGCTGTTATCAAGGTGACTAGGAATGGTGCATTCTCAGTTCAGGCTCTGATGGAATGTCTACTTGATCTGGTGCAACTCCAGCTGTGCTCTTGGCTTTCCTCACTTTTGTGGTTCCGAGAATGCAAATATTCTCCCATGGCTTCCTTATTTTGTCTTTCTCCATGAGGTCTCATTCAAGTATAAACATTCCCTTCAATTTTCTCAACTCATTTTATATTGTCTGAATAACCTTGATAATTTTCCCTTTCCTAAAGCTATAGACCTTCTTTTTGTGTGTAAGAACAGATTACTCACAAATGTTTACTGTCCGCTAAACATTTATGTGTAATCAGTCCTTAATTCTACACACAAATATCATCTCTACCAACATTTTACAACTATAGTCTTTCTATAGAGAACTATGAAAGGAACTTGCTCTAAAGGAGAAACTTCCAGAGCTAAACCAAGGGTATGACAATTGTTAACAATATGTTATTCAGTAAAAATATTTTTTCAGTTAACAGAGAAGAATGCCATGGACAAAATGGCAAAACAGAACTTTTCAGCACTTATTCCTTCACAGAAACATCAATTTGAACAGCCATCCGTGCATCAAAGTGTCTTCAAAAGAGACAAGGAATCCAGGTGAGAGGTTATAGCACGTTTGTGGAGTAGAAAAGTAAGAAAAATGGCATAAAATAGTGTATAAAAGAGAGTTTTCTATTATCTGCATTACCCCGCCCCTAAACCTGGGTAGTGCAGCATGGAAAGAGATACCATGTATGTGCAGAGAGGAGAGCAAATGTAACACCTGACTTCAACATCAACTCCAATGCCAGGCACAATTCAGTGAACTCAACACCAGGCAGGTTTCTATAGCCACAGGCTATGGGACAGACCCTGTCAACCCAAGCTCCAGGCCTTCCCCTATGGCTCTAAGATCTAATGCCTTCAACCTCCATGGCTCCTATCGACATAGGCTCCAGGCCTTCGCCACAACCAGGCCATTTATGGCTTCCCCAAGCTCCACACTGGTTACTATAGACTCGTAAGTGCCTGGATAAACAAACCTCTACATCGACACAGTGGAATATTACTCAGCAATGAAAGCAATAATCTTTGAATGTGGCTTTTGTTGCAGGAAAAAAAGCACGTGAGCTATGAAGCCATTAAAAGACATAGAGGAAACTCAAATACATACTACTAAGTGAAAGAAACCAATCTCAAATGACCACTTACTATATGAATCCAACTATATGACATTCTGGAAAAGGCAAAACTATAGAGACATCAAAACGTTCAGTGATTGCTGGGGGTTGAAAAGTGGGGAAGGATAAATGGGCAGAGCCTAGAGGATGTTTAGGGCAATGAAACTACTCTGTGTGTTACTATAATGGTAGACACATGCCATTACACCCTTGTCAAAACTCACTGAATATACGACGGCAAGAATGGTCCCTAATGTCAATTATAAACTATAAACTATGGGTGACAGTGATAAGTCAATGTTGGTTCATCCATTGTAACAAATGTACCTCTCTAGTGAGGAAGGCTGATAGTGGAGGAGGCTGTGCATTTGGGGAGGTGGGAATGTAGGAACTCTCCGTACTTTCCACTATGCCTCACTATTAACTTTACACTGCTCTAAAAATAAAGCGTATTTTAAAAAAGATTGAGCTGTTGATATAAGCCCAATGTCTACTTTGACGTCCAGAAATGTTTCTTTTAAAAAGCTAATACACCACTTCCTGGAAGAAAATATTTGTTAACAAATTCTTTTATAGAACAATTATTTTTGTGGGTGTTCCTGTCACAACTATACATAAAAATCAGAATATGCAGCAACATCTTGATACTCTAAAAACACAATACCAAAAACGTTAAGAAAATCATTTCTAAATTTGATCTAAGCCAAAATGTGGAGAAGCAAAAGGGAAGAAAATTATTTCTGTATACTGAGATTATAGGTTGTTTCCTCCTCTACAGTTTTCAGTATTTTCCAACTTCTATCATGGAGATATATAAATATAGAAGTAGATATGTAGATATATACTCATTAGATATATATTTATATATAATAAACAGATACCGTTTTTATTTTTTATTATTTATTTATTTATTTATTTTTTGAGACGGAGTTTCGCTCTTGTTTCCCAGGCTGGAGTGCAATGGCGCGATCTTGGCTCACCACAACCTCCACCTCCTGGGTTCAGGCAATTCTCCTGCCTCAGCCTCCTGAGTAGCTGGGATTACAGGCACGCGCCACTAAGCCCAGCTAATTTTTTGTATTTTTAGTAGAGACGGGGTTTCACCATGTTGACCAGGATGGTCTCGATCTCTTGACCTCGTGATCCACCCGCCTCGGCCTCCCAAAGTGCTGGGATTACAGGCTTGAGCCACTGCGCCCGGCCTACAGATACCATTTTTAAAAGATATATTTATGTATTTTGTATATTTATATAATATATACATGTTCATATATACATCATGTTATCACCATTATGGATATAAAGAAGGACATTAAAATAGTGAAAAGATTAAAATAAAATGTACCAAAATGGAAACAGTGACTTAACTCTGCCTAGCTTTATGTGATTAAACAAGGTATTTTCAAATCTATTTTTCTTTGCTTTCTAGAGGCTTTATAATAAATCTATATTTTTATATTTAAAAGCCTAATTTATATTAAACAAATAAATATTCAGCAACACTGTCTTTAGAACATTTTTTAAATCAACTTGAGCATGAAGAAAATGTTATTACTATGGTGGTGAGCATTTTGAAAGATTAGCAGAAGCAGGGATAATGTGACATTTAGCTGATCTTTCAAGGGAAGCTAGACAAATGACACTTTTCGAAAAGAAAATAGTAACTAGTGTTGAAACATGGTATCGCCAGTATGACTAAGAAGGAAAGTGTCAACTTCTTCTGTGGAAAATCCTAACATTACCTAACGTAAGAAGGCAAATACTTCAACAACAGAAATGAAAATATCTTGATTCATTTATTTAACACTTTTTTAGAGTTTAATCCCAAAAAGTCTATTGTGAAGAAAAGAAAAAATCTTACTCGTGTATATTACCCTTTGCAGTGAACTGGCCAAATAAGTCTATCCAAGGTACGTTGAATACCGAGCATGCTGGAAACATTTTTATTTACATCATCTCTAATCCCTACAACAATAGTGCAAGGAAAGGTTTAACATCTTCTGTTTACAGAGAGGAAAGCTGAGGCTCAAAGAGGTATAGTAGCTCATTTAACATTACACATCCGATACGTGGTGGAGGTGGGACCTATACTTACATCTGTCAGACCTTAAAGTCTGTGTTCTTCTTTCTACCTCTCTGCCTCAGTCCAACAATTGGGATCTTTGCCATGATGCCTCACGAGTTCACGAGGCACTTTTCAGGAAGTTTTTGACTCAGACTTTATCACTCAGCAAGATACCTCAACTAATTTACAAAATGTGACTTGAAAAGCAGGTTGTAATTCCAAAAGCAAAAATCCAACCACAAAAGATAAAGTCTTAATCAGTAGAGCTTTACAGAAGGAAGTAATGTAGGTAGTAAGGGCACTTTCAGAAATGTCTGGAATCAGAGGAGTCGATGTATCACCTGTTAGAAATGGTACTCGCTTGGTAGCAAAATTTTCCTTGTGTTCACTTAAAATAATAGTCTTGTTGTTTTAAAACCAACGCACAGTCAGAGGGTGACTTGGATGTTATTTTTTATTCTCTTTGCCTTCTTAAGAATGGATTTTTCCTAAATTCTAATTATTATTGTAACTTACATAAGTGCAGCCGATTTTGCTTTTAAGGATAAAACTACATTTAAGTAGCTTTGTCTGGATTATCAAAACCAGGCCCTGAAGAAGTGAGTTCCTAAAGGGTAGGAACTTTGCTTATGTCTATATCTCAGTTGTGTTAAACAGAATAACTGGCGCAAATTAGCAAATGATGCACTGAGGAAAAAAGACTTTATGAAGAACTAAGTTTCAGATTCAGGGTGACGCTAAGGAGCTAGTGTACCAGAGGATGGTATGCCTTCTGCAATCACAAAAGCAGCATTCAGTCTGATCTGGGCTCTAAGAAGTGCTCCTTGAGACCTGAAATTTTATCCTAACACTGCCACTAACAGGTTAAGTCAGAAAGAGTTCACTTCCCAGAGCTTTCGATTTCTGGTTTCCAAATCAGCACAATGAGAAACTGAAAAGAAGGAAAGAGGAAAAAAAGAGAGGGTCAGAGATCCCTCCTGCTTGTACAATGCCATGATTTGGACACAGGGTTTGGGCAACCATGGCCCATCCACCAATTCCTGCCTGTCGTCTCTTGTCAGACAGCTCACAAGCCACGAATGTGAAAGAATTCAAAAAAGTAACAATATCTTGGGACATGTCAACAATTATATAAAATGCAATTTTCAGTTCTCATAAAAGTACTTTGGAACTCAGCCCCACTCCTTTATTACCTTTCTATGGCTGCTTTCACACCACAACCGCAGAGATAAGTAGCTGTGACAGAGACCATATGGGCTGCCAAGCCTAAAATATTTACTGCCTAGACCTTTCCAGAAAAAAAAAAGGATTGCTGATCTGTTACACAGACAAGCAAGCGATCACCTGAGAACATTAAAATCTGTGTCTAGGACAAATGGGGCCTATAAAAACTAGGGAATAATCTTCCCCACTACTTATGCAAGAACATTCACCCTTGAGAGAGCAGGCTACATGGCTTGGCAGCACTACTGCCACCAGTCCAGACTTCCCCTCACCTGTGCCCTATAAGTGACCAGCATTTCTAGGCATTCGTGGAGCAGCGGGGTGCATTCTCATGTCTGGCCCCACACCTTCCCTTCCTCCTGCTTCCTCACATTCTATTTTCTGAGTGGTTGTCAAAGGAACGCTGAATTTTGCTGTCACTTTTTCAGACCCCAATTCCACTTATGACAGTCTTGGTACCAGGAAGCATTCCGAGCTCCTATCTCATCACCACAACCGCCTGCTTCTCACTTAGTCCAGACGAGCTTGCCACAGTGCACTTGCTTTTTAATCGCCCTCTCTCTTCTTGCCTTCACTTCCTCTCCCTCCCTCTCTCCCTGGCTCTTTCTGTCACACGGGTGTGTGCACATACACAAGTTCCGATCAGATAAAAGAAGAAACACTTTTTAAGTTTCTTTCTAGGCCTAATAGAAAACTCTTTTTTTTTTTTTTTTACAAAAGCAGAGCTGTTTTTTCCATTGCAAAAGTGTGGGTGTCCTTCCTTTTGGAGAGTAACAATCATTTTCTACATGGCCTTCTGACACATTGCATGTTGTACATATGTGTGTGTGCACATGTGCATATGAGTGTTAGAGTGTGTG